AAAGTATTCGAGATAGAAAATTTTGGATTTGATATTCGTGTTCAGCGTTAAATTCTACATCGAATCCATATATCACATTCATAAATTTCGTAATTTTGATAGGGGGTGGGGGTAAAAAAGGAGGTCTGGGAGGGGTGCGCCCAGAGGGTTTTTTGGAGGCCTATATGTATTGATTATAAAAATATATATGTTGGTGGGCTAAATCGAAAAGACGGGAAACCGATACCGAGCCTATTCTTCGTCGACACAAACGGTAGACACAATCGACTCAATGGACAATCAGAAGACAATTGCGATAATCAATGAATGGATTGAATGTTAGGTTTGGATCAATTCAAGTGATTTAAAGACAAAGTATTTTAAAGACAAAGTATTGTTAGAAATGGTACACAAATTGTGGGCAAAAACGCAATAAAAGCGATAAGTATTGCAATGAATGACAAAATGCCTGCTATTATGGCTCACTGTATGCCTCACTGTATGTCTCACTACTACTCGTTATTATAAGAGATTTCTATTGCAATACATTTTATACGACTCTCTATTCACTCATAGGCTATGCATTGCAGGCAATGACTCACTCGATGTCACGTGATTTGTGTTGTGTTTGTTGTCAAACAGTGTTTGCGTTTACATTACAGTCTGTAATAGCGGTTGTATTGAACGCTGTGTTGAGTGTCCGCTAAGACATACCATTCATTGGCCACTCGAAGGCCGACACATGTGTTGTCGAGATAATTCCAGAAACAGACAGTTCACAACTAGTGGACTACGAGACTAACTCGCTTTCTCTCCGGGGAAAACAACGGTAGTTAACAACGGTTGTGAAAGTGTTGTGGACTTTGATGACATGCAGTTGAGTATTACTAATTACCATCAAAACCATGTCTGCGGCCATCTCTATGGGATCCGATCTGAAAGACTACGTGAGCGCCAGAAACGGTGACAAACCTTCGCTCACCGATAATGTCAAGAGTCTGTTCAATAACGGCAACAATAAAGCGAAGCAATGGTTTTATCAGCCGTTGAGCACCGAAGACATCGCCGCCGATGACAGTCACATGGACTCAATGGGTGACAACAGAACCCCCTCTTCATCTAACAGTTGGTTCTCTTCGCTCTCGTTGTCATCCAATACTCAAAACGAAGCCAACGATTGGTTACCATCTCTTGTAATGCTTTCAATAACCATATGTTTAACTAATTTTAACGATTTATGTATTTCTGTATATTTTAGAGTCGGACTCAACGTGTGATCGGTTTCATAGTCTTTATATTAATGGGTTTATTATGTTTTACTTTGGTATTTATTTTCACGCAATCCTTTCGCACCAAATATTTCAATCATTTTCTCTTTTTTAGTCCACTTTTTATATTCCTCTTCTGGTATTCAAAGCCCGAAAGTTTGCCCTTTTATTCACGTTTGGCTCACTTTTCATTGTTTTAAGGTTTGTATTGATTTCTAAACGCTTTTTTTGTGCCAATTTGTCACTACATTTGACCGACTCTTTGATTCGACAGTTTCTCTGTCCTGTGGGGACCAATCAGTCATATGAAACACTTGTTCTCTCAACAGAGACTTCCCTTTACTCTCACATATTTCGGCTCCTTATTCATGACTCTATACTTCGCTCTAAAGGTTTGACCATTTGTTTCATTCATTACTTTCTAAACTAATGGATATTGTGATGGTTTAAAATACAGGTTCAGAGCACTGTTCTGACGGCACTGTTTGCTGTGATTCAAGTGATAGCACTGCTCTGGTATGTCGTCAGTTATCTTCCCGGCGGCCAAACGGGTCTCATGTTCTTCACTAAAATCGCCACTAAAGCGGCCGCAAAAGGACTTCCAGTGTAGAGCACACACCCGACTGTCCGACACTCGGCATAATGTCATCGCATTTTGTTATTTATTTTAAATACTATTTGTTTTATTTAATTATTAATATATATTTTGTCTGCGAATCATGTGTTTTAAAAACTCGTAAATATGACAAACAAATGACTATTTATTGTAATCTTTGGAGTATTTGCCAAAAACGCGTTTCCCTCTCAGCGTCTTCTGGCGCCTAATCTCGTCCTTGAAGTCCAAGTGTTCGTCACTTTATGTCATGAAATCAATGAGATATTAGACAATGCAATGCAAACACATGTCTGACAACACGAATGCCGTCGCGTTTAGACACTGACCGGAAAAGTCCTAACTCTCGGAGAGTATTAATGAGCCGATAGTGTTGCGGATGCGGCGGATAATACAGATGATTGCGCTGCGGGTCTAAATCCATGGGCAGAGCCGACAGCCTCTGCACCACTAACTCATTGCGGTAGTGATACGACTGAAAGGCGTCCCTCTCTTTGCGGCAATGCATCCGTGGCTTTTGGATCTGCTTCGGCACCGGAGGGCGCGTGTAGTCACCGAATATACGACCACTCAATCGACGCATCCGTTCGGCGTATCGGCCGCTCATTGTCTGCAAACCACAGCTATAATTGTGGCCACAATTTAATCGCGAAATCAATTATTGTTTTGTTATGTTTTTCTCGCAATACAAACAACGCTTTGACCAAACAGTTGGTCACAAAACTTGTGACTAATAATATGAGTGCCATTTAATCGCCCCTTAATTATAGCCAATGAGAAAACCCCCAAAAATGCTCGAATAGGTGTTACGTTGTATACGAAGAGCGCATTGCGTTTAAAGCATACATTACTGGTTTGACTGAACGGCTGTTTGAACTGCAAATCGGTTGCGAAATAACGTCTCGAATATCGTATGGAATGAAAGGAATTTGTGTTACGTTGTATACGAAGAGCGCATTGCGTTTAAAGCATACATTACTGGTTTGACTGAACGGCTGTTTGAACTGCAAATCGGTTGCGAAATAACGTCTCGAATATCGTATGGAATGAAAGGAATTGATTGAACGAATGGTCCGTTTGTTTGTGTCATTCAAATGACGTAATAAATGGACGAATGGCTGAAAAGGAGTGTCTTTTGTGGCAAACAATGCACTGAAATGAGTATTGAATGCATTGAATGTTGTATTGAATGAAACCATTAGTAATCAAACTGACAATCGATTCGTTGTTATTATGTGTTATGTTTTCGACGAAGAGTTCAAACATTAATGCATTCGTCGTTCGAAACGATTGTCTTCTGATTTGAAGTGATTTTCGAAATCCAATGCAAAGTGTTTTGTGATTCGCATTGAATGCACGCAACAGTCATATGACTCATGGTTTGACACTTGGATGCAGTGGTGCTGAGAGTGAGTGACACGAGTGGACACAGACTGGCATCGAGTGGTCACGAGTGGACTCGTTGTGACACATTGTGGACAATATGTTGATAGAGTCGGCGCACTCGTCGGCGACGCCTCCCCTACAGAACCAATCGGTGATGTCTTCGTCGCCGTCACCGCAAACGCTGGGCTACGATATGATAGAGAGACTGAACAGTCGTGTGAATGGGTATAGAGATCACCATAAGATGTGTTTCCTGAAGAACGAGACAACAGTGGAGACGCAGAACGCGAAGATGAAGACCGAGACTCAGCGTCTTCAGCACCAGTTCCTCAACAACAACCACAACAACACCACTGCGAACAACAAATCCAAAGCACACAAAGCCGTCAACGCGTCCGCCAATCAGCGCAACGCCAACAAGAGGTCCAACGCGGCGGCCAATCAGTGCGACCCGAAGTGCGACACCACTGAAGCCAAGCCCACGAAAGTGCCGAAAGCGGCCAATAGTCGGCTCAACGGCGCCAACAATACGGCCAAAGCGTCGGGACTGTCGCCGAGCGCTCACTTCGGCCGCAATTGTGTCAAATTTAATCCGCAAAGCAATCCATTGGACGTTAAGATGAAGCCATCGATTGGCAAGTCTTGTATGACGACAACCACTGCCAACGCGTCTCAGCCAATGAGTGCCAACACATGCGGACCCGAAATCAAGCGCGAAATTGAGGACAACTCGTACTTCGAGAGCGTTAACGTCGACGCCATTCACGACATACTGTCCAACAGTTGCAGTACTGCCAGCGCTGTCAGCAATGGCTGCGCCGCTAATGGCATGGAAATGATTGGCTCGGATGTGATGAAGGATCTGTTCAGTGACAGCGGACTCGCCGACGACGGGTTGGGCGGCGCTAACTTCGGCGACGAAGACTTTATCGCCAAATTCCTCGAAGATCTCAACGAATCGTCATTCAATGATATGGCCAACAGTTTTGGACAACAAATGAATCCACAAATGAAACCATTAAATGCACAGCAATTACCCCAACAAATGGTCAACCATTCAAACAATACAAATGGCAATAATGAAGGCATTAATTGCAACCTTAATGTTAACGCAATGAACAACAACTCAAATAACGCTAATTTGATTCTTACAACCAATCAAATGAATTTCAATACAAATCAATTGCAAACAAACTCAGAGATGAGCTCTTCATACCATCCGATCCCTATTCAGCCACGACTTCAGCCCAATCTCATCGCAAACATTGCCAACAGACCGACGCTTCACATGATTACTAATAACCAGAACTTCACCACAAATACTGTTAATAATAGTAATAATGTTCGCAATTATGTAAACGTTGTCAATACTGGCCCTCAACCCCAACAACAGCTACTTCTGCAGCAAATCACACCACATCTGACACAACAGTCCCTAAACAACGTGAACGTACAGATCCAACAACAGCCACAGTCTGGACCAGCGATTCACTCGCGACTACCGGTGAATACAGTGCCGCGGATGGTATCGGTTGTGCCGAAGCCCGAGAACGTGTCCGTTCAGCTCTCTATACAAGTGCCACAACAGACCGCGAATGCAAACCCCATGTCATCACAAATAGCGCAACAAACGAGTGGACACGCGTCTCAGGCGGCGGCCAAACTCAAACAGATGGCACAACACGTCCAGCAGAAGACCCACAACTGGGTGGTCAACCATTCAAACGCTTCATTGTCTCAAATGCCTCAACAAATGCCACAACAATCACAGCAACAGATGACACAATCGCCACAACGACTCGCACAACAACCCCAACAACAACGACAAGTGTTGGTCATAAACGACACACAAAACCAAAACCAAACGCAAACTTATTTCACGCCACAAATGAATCAACAGATATATTGGCAACAAAGCCAACAACAGACACAACAACAACAACAACAGCCGCAGCAACACATCCAAAACCATTCACAACCACAACAACAGCAGATCATTCAACAAAACCAACAAACTTTCGACAACTATTGGTCACATCCGCAACAAATGGGACAAATAGTTGGACAGCCATCACAACAGACACCACAACAGCAACAGCAACAACAGCCACAACAACAACAACCGACACAACAATTATACAATAATTATAATAATAATTACAACTATTTTTGATACAATGTATTATTTGCTCATTTTTAACATTATTCCTCATTTAACGTAATATAATATCGATATGAATATTGGTATGAATATACTGTTGGGTAATAACAGTGTATTTAAAACTTTTTAATTATAACGTCTTATACTATGATATTAGCCTAAAAAGCGTTATATTTTTGTATTATAGACTTGGAATGAAATCAATAGAAAATATACTCTCGAATTGATTTCGTTTTTATATAATTATTACTATTTAAATATTTGTTAAATATATTGTTTAAAACATAAAATGACTGAAATTGGAAAACCATTTGCCATTTAATATTAATTAAAATAAAAATTTTAAAACAATTGTTTTACAATAATTGTTTGTTTTGAAGTTTTCAATTTGTTATAGTTTTCTCATTAATATCACCACTGATTACCACTCAAACGATCGCCTAAAGAGATACAACTATAACATTAATTATATGATTGTTTGAAAATATATGAGTCCATTATTGGATTGAATCAATTGGTTCCATCGATTGTATCAATCCATTTATAATCATTTAAAACCAATTTTGTTGGTTTATTGCAAATTTAATCATAATTTATTAACAAATTATATACAAAAAATGTAACGAAAAATGTGAGAAATCGTAAATTTAATTACAAAGTATAAAAATGTAATATTCAATGATTAGTTGTGTCGACCGGAATGGAGATGTCTTTGGTGTTGTGATTGTTCGGCAGGTCTTTCCGTCAGTTCTTCGAGAGGTTTCGTCCATTTGATGAGCTTAAAAAGCGTTATATTTTTGTATTATAGACTTGGAATGAAATCAATAGAAAATATACTCTCGAATTGATTTCGTTTTTATATAATTATTACTATTTAAATATTTGTTAAATATATTGTTTAAAACATCAAATGACTGAAATTGGAAAACCATTTGCCATTTAATATTAATTAAAATAAAAATTTTAAAACAATTGTTTTACAATAATTGTTTGTTTTGAAGTTTTCAATTTGTTATAGTTTTCTCATTTCAATATCACCACTCATTACCACTCAAACGATCGCCTAAAGAGATACGACTATAACATTAATTATATGATTGTTTGAAACAAATGAGTCGATTATTGGATTAAATCAATCCATTGGTTCCATCGATTGTTCAATTCATTTATATAATCATTTCAAACCAATAGTTTATTTGCAATTTTAATCATAATTTATTAACAAATTATATACAAAAAATGTAACGAAAAATGTGAGAAATCGTAAATTTAAATACAAAGTATAAAAATGTAATATTCAATGATTAGTTGTGTCGACCGGAATGGAGATGTCTTTGGTGTTGTGATTGTTCGGCAGGTCTTTCCGTCAGTTCTTCGAGAGGTTTCGTCCATTTGATGAGCGTTTCTGGCGATCGATACAAGAATATGAGTTTCGCGTAGAGATCTTCTTCGAGTTCGAACTCTAGACTCTCGCGAACCAAATAGATATCGAGACATAACTGGAGGACTCGGTCTACGTTTGGCATTCGGGTGTAAATCACTTTGAATGAGGACTCGGAGTTGAGTCCGCGCACCCAACGCGACACCAAAAACACGAAAGTCGTGTAAATACCGATTATGCCGTAACCGGAGAGGAATGCCAACAGACCGATGAACACCTTGTCGTTGAACAGAACCAGCGGTAAGTCTTTACAGTTCTGATTGAGGAGTAGATCATTGAGAAGAAATTCATCCAAATATTTGGTGTATACTCTGTGGTCACAGACGGCGTCCCGGATCTCCCACCAGAATTTATCGCCATTGGACTTTAACGAGAGCTTCACACTCCTGTACTCATACATATCAATCGTCTCATTCTTTTCTCTCTTCTTCTTAGCCAAAGAGGAGACAATCTTTGGCATCCCTTTCTCGGGAACTCTTAAATAGTTTGGAATCAGATATTCAATAATGGCGTACTTCTTTGGGTCCGGATTCTCAATCATATCCGCAATTTCAAGCCGTAATTTCATATCTTTTTGATTGCTTGGATCCAAGACTTTGTTGTTCTCTCCGGAAACGGTTACGTCCATGTCTTGAGTCTTTTGCTGTTTCCTTCGAGTGATAAAATACGTGAGTTTTAAGGTTATGCTTGAATTGCTCTTCAGATCATGTTTCAGCGATTCAAGACTGGGATCACTGATACTCCAAATGGCCGTTGAATTGCCATTGAGTGAGACGATAGTGACATCACCAGGGTCGTAACCCGATATCCACGTCTGGGCCACCGGATCCTTCGCAAAGTCTTCGTTACCGCGCAAACGATCCCAGAAATCATCACTTATAGTATTGAGACGATTGTCGGCAACACTCATATGGAATATCGGTTCATAGCCTCCAAACTCGAGCTCAACACTCGCGCCGAACGGAGGGTTGAATGAGCCGACGGCGCGGCCCAACGCGAACAAACCCAATGGACCCCATATAAGGCCTAAGATTAAGACATTTACAGATTATGCAAATAAATAATTAATGGGTAACAAACCAATTATGATCGCAACCCACGCGCCGCCCAACAGGTACTTAAAGAAGCGGCGCTTCGCCTGACCCCTCGGTTCAGGAAATTCTTCGTCTAATTTGAGTTCACATTTGCGTTCATAAAGATTGACAAATATATCTTCCATTAAAGACCACTCGTCGAGCACAAGACTAGTGTCGGTCCAAATCCAGTCCATATACATCCGCAAGTCATAGAGGAATGGGATCACCATATATCTGATCGCAAATGCAATTAATACAATCATCATTTTTAATTTTCAATTATCACACCATCAATAATACATACCCTTTGAATGCATACCAATTGATGAGATTATATTTTTTACAGAAAGTATTTCCCAGAATTCTTGTGGGATAACCGCTTCTTATCTGATATGCAGATAACAGAAAGTACAGGCATTTGAATATGTAGTAGACTTTGGGCGGCCAATTGGACTTGTCTATGAAAGGTCTGACAAACACACAATTCATTTATAAATCAAGCAATAATTGACTTAAAATTAATGCCAAACCTATCAGTCATTGCTGGCAATGCGAAGAAGAGCCACATATGAATACCAATCGCCAGAATTATTTGGAAAAGTAGTTTCCCTTTAATATATTTGCGTAAATATAACGCCCTATCGATTATAATGAGAGCGAATTGCATGAGAAGTGTCACCAAAAAAGGGATTGGAATTCTGTTCTCCTCGAGAAATTTGGTCACATCTTCACCGCCGGCGTAACCGCTCTATTCATTCATTCAATCAATTATTTAAAATCTTTTTTTTTAGTAATTAATTAAACAAAAAACTCACTCCAAATGCAGAGAAACCAAAGACTAGTATAAAAAAGTTAATAAAATCGCATAAAAACATAAGTGAATAGACGTCTCGAGTGATACGATATGGCGGATGAAGAACACTATGGAAGAAGTGACGGACAGGTTTCGTCCCCTGTATTATCCTATAATTATTGATCCCATTTTCGATTATATTATTGTCACAAATATAATAATACCGGTACTTTTAAAAACTAACCTTATTTTCAGTTCTGAAGGACTAATGTATTTAATGATGACTTGAATTCCTTCAGAAGAATCTTCTTTATCCTCAGTGAGAGTGACGTCAGACAACTCTTCGTCGCCCTCTTTGCCGATTAAATCTAATTCTGGATCCGATTCCTTGTCTTTCTTCTCAGAGACGGCCACTTCTTTTGATTGCATTTCTAAATTTAAGACCGATTTTGTCTTTTTATCGCCTTTTAGTTTCTCCATTAAGTCAGCCGAAGAGATCTCATCCAAAGCCAGTGACTTCTTTCGTTCGGCGATTTCCATGAAAGCCGTGATCTCTGATTCAGACAAATCCCAAAGACCTAAACTCTGCGATACAATCATAAGAATACACGAATTGCGTTAAATATTGGTTGAATTCACTTGAAGTATATGAAATTACTTTAAGCATAAATCGATGGAAGAATAGGACTAAAAGTAGTGCCAAATCAAACTGAGCGTAATTGTCGTCTTTATTAATGCCGAAAATTCTGGGCAAATAGAAGGGAGTGATGTCTACTTTGCCGCTCGCAAGCCATGGCCAGAACTGGAACTGAAATATGTATTTAATGACAACTATAAGCTCCGTATATGTGATAACAGTGATCCAGAAGGCCTTCGATGGTCGCGGAACTGACA